CACCAGTGTCGCCCTTGACTTGTTCCTCTAAAGGTTGCTCCTCTATTTTCTCTTGATAATCATCGCAGACAACTTATTAAGCACCAAAAATAAATTGCTTGGGACAATTTGATTGGCGATGACAAATTTCACCACAATTAAAACACTTAAAAGTGAGAGGACGAGTGCTCTTAGGTGGGAAAGCTCCACCAATTTGCTCTCCAGTATGAGTATGCACACCTGAAATGGAGGCTGGATCATATCCTGTGACGCCCACATTATCTCCCTGTGGAGTTGAGTGTATTCGCTGATTCGCTGACCAACATGTAGTAGTATTTTGTGAAGATTGTTCAAACAATAAAGCTCGCTGATGTGCCTCGGAAACTGTATTGGGGTTAAACTGCATGAGCTGGTTCTGTAGCTGGGGTCGTAATCCACCAATAAAATGAGACACAAGTTGTTCTTCAGACTCTCCCAACGAATTCCAAGACAAGAGATTAAAAAAATCAGCTGCATATTCTTCAACAGTTAGAGACCCCTGACAGAGGTTTTGAAAATGTGTATACAAAGTGTGTGCATAGTTGTAAGGCAAAATAGACGTTTCGGCTTCTTCCATGACACAAATCGCGGTTTACCTGCCCACTCTCTTTGTTCCTTCACTTGCTGCCACCATGCCGACGCTCGACCTTTAAAATGAGTGGCAACCAAAAAAATCTTCATATCTTCAGGAACTTGTTTAAACTCCAAAAGCTCCTCCACCGAACTTATCCAATCTAGCAATTCATCAGGTTGCAGAGTACCTTGGAAGTCAGGAAGATCAAGTATAAATCCCGAATCCCAACGATTATTCTCACCCCTTTGAGCTGCTGACTCCGCTTGGCAAAGATGTTGTAACGGACACACTCTCTCTCCTGCAAATGGGTTATCTTCAGCATCATCGTCGTCTTCATCCACCTGGTGTACCTCGTCAACACGTCTAGGGTTTGCTGGAGCGCGTCGATTCTCTTGAAGCACCGAACGGACTGCAGTTTCCACAGATTCACGTAACATATCTCGGAAATCATTCTGGAACTATGATAACACTCCATAAAGCGCATCAATTGTGTCTTAAAGATTCTTCTTAGGCGGCATGATGAGGATCGTTTGTCTCTGATACCAATTGTTGTAACAACAAAGTAGCATGAACACCAAGTAACTTTGATCTTCCGGGATCAAAGAACTTAGAGACGATTGAGCTTGACGTCTTAATAAGATTTGCAAGTTCAATATGATTTTAAAGAGAAAAATTCTTAAAGTTTATTTATTAAAAATCGCTTTACAATGTATCATGAATAAGTATATTTATAGCTATGAAGAGATGTATATACCAACACCAAAACCCTAATCTCTTCAATCTAAATAAAAGGAAAGTTAACTTTAATGCATAAAGAAAATACGTAAAGCTAACACAACGAAAGCAATGCTACATCACTTTCCCACTACTTATACCTCTTCTTCTGGTTTTCTTCATCTTCTTGAACTTCCTAATCTTTTCATCTTTTCTCTTTCTTTTTTTACTTATTCGTGTTATCTATCTTCTTGTGTTATGAAATATTTGGGTAGACATTATTGAAATTAAATTTTGGATGAGAGAACATTTTTGTTAATCAGAAAAGTTTGAAAATTATTGAATATATCTTTTCACATCCCACATGCTGAAGCTATGAAGCTGTGTTAGCCTGAGCCTTAACCAATGCTTGGTTGTTAGTATTATCACCCATTGTGACTTAATTCGACTTATGTTTCTTTCCTTCCTAGTTAGTTCTTTCTGCTCTTGCAAGTTCATGGTTGTTGAGATTAAGGAGGTTGTTAGAACTTTCACTTCTTCTCTACATACACCTGAATCCATAAGAGTGGAAGATGAAACTAGTATGTAAATCTTAGAATAAATTTCAGACCTGGATTCACAGGTAACAGTATTAGTTTCTGGCAACGCCGCCAAAAACTGGATACACAGAGTTTTAACCCTATAGAACTAGTGCATGTGCACATCAAATATTGTAAAAAAGTAGGGATCGAATCTACAAGGACCAAGTGTCACACTACAAATCTTAATGAATGAAGCTAAGTTAAGACATGAATATGGTTGTTGGTTGTAAATTAAAACAAAAATAGCAATTAAAACAGCACAGAAATCAATTAAAGCAAGCATTATGTCAAGGATAATTCACATGAATTCAGAGATCACGAAGCAAGCAATTATTTAGAGAATGAATTAGAAACCGTTTTAGAACTCAAACACACAAATGTATAATCACTCCATTGGCATGGTATCAAGTACTTTGTTTAACAACCTAAGATTTTAAACTGTCATTTGAACTTAGAATTGTAAACAGACTTTCATTTCGAGTTTGATATGTTCACAAAATGCCTTAACATCAGCTTTCGTGGCTAAGAACGTTTTGCTCATCTATGTTCTTAAACAAACACTTTTGGTATGCTAAACAACCTAAGATCAGAAACTAGGTAGCTAGTCAAGTTTCAGCAACGAGATCAACAATAGATGAAGAAACCACGAGATAATTCCCTATATATGTCTAATTCAATGATTGATGAACTTCCTTGAAACTCTAAACCTAACTATAGAACTACTCAGACATAGAAGCATATAACAAGCAAAGAGATGAAGACAAACTTATCAATAAATAAAAAATCCAAAAAAGTTCAAAAATCTTCTCAAAAGATGTAGAGTCGGAGATTCTTCTCCCAATCTTACAAAGATTCAAACCAATTGAAAGAATAGAAAATAATGTGTCTCCCAAAAAGTGGCTAAAAATAATATATATAGGTCTAGGGTCGAATTAGGTTAAGTTAGGATGATTCTAGGATAAAATAGGAAGTTACAGATTTTTTTTTTTTGGAGAACTGGATCGATCGATCTGGAAGGATTGGATCAATCTGAAAGCTCACGGAAAATTCGTTTGATGTTGGATCGATCGATACCATATTGGATTGATCATTTGTTCGCCAGACTGAATAATTTTCACGAAAACTGGCATAACCTTTAATCGCACTGTTGGATCGACTTGAAACCATTTCCAAATGAAAGCTAACTCAAATATATAGCGTGTATCCAAAATTCAGCTTGATTTATTGGTGGAAAGTGATTTAATGAACTATAAAAATTTTAAACGTTCCAGCATAATTATGTATCAACATATGTTCGTTTGCATCTGAAATTACTCGTTTTTTTCTCAAAATTATCTAAAATTTGATAAAAGGAATAAAAAATTCTAAAAATCATTTAATTTTTATTCTAAAAATTATTGAAAACCTTAGATTAAAAAATCTCAAAACGCTATATCTCAAAAATCTTAAAAATATGTCAACTATCTACACATTACTTTATTTATTAGTCAACATAATATAAACCATAAAAAAATTCTATTGCCATCAACTAAGGAAACAACTAAAATTAATTTCTTTCATTTCTTCCGCTAAGCAATAAAAATTATCAACTGTCATATAAGAGTTTCAGTTCATAAATATGATTTGAAGATGATTGCAGTTTCTTACAAATGTACTTTTCAAGTTGTTAAGAAAAGTACTTTTCATAGGTTTGAAATCTTCTTTATCCAAAAGCATTATAGTACCGAAGAATTTAGCAATGTGAATTAATATATAAGTAAAAATTAATTTAGTAATCCGAACTTTTTTTTTTTGAAAAAAGGGTTTTCTGTTTCTTTTCTTTGGATCTTTTTTTGTTTTATATAAGTAAAAATTAATTTAGTAATCCGAACTTTGCATGGAACAAAATATACGTTTTCTAAGTAGTTAGGAAAGACATATAGTAAAGAAGAATTTAGCAAGTAAATCCAAACTTTGCGTGGAGCAAATCCATGGTTAAATAGATTTTCCTCATAGTTGTTGTGAAAGAAAAAAATATTGATTTCTAGAAGAAAAAGGATCACCAATATTGATACAAATGTCTTTAGTTATATGGTAACAAACCGGGGGAAAGTCTTTGTCAATGATGATGTAGACTACCAAAAATCACATGCAAAAGGCAGATAAGAAAATAACATTTTTAAAATAAAACAACAATGTACTTAATAAGTTGTTGTATATTCCTTTGGTTTTTAATTAATTACTGTTATAATTTATATTTTCCTGTTTTTTATTAGAAAATATTTTAGAGATCTATATAGATTAAAAAATCATTTAATTTTTATTTTTTAAAATAAAATATGTTTTTTTATCAATTCTAAAACAGTTTCACCAATAAAATAAAATAAAATTTAAAATTCAAACAACCAAAACAATAAAAAAATAATTAATTTGTACATAAAATTTTGAAAACATTATATATTTTAAAACAAAAAATAAATTCCAAAATATTCTTTAATAAAAAAGGATAAAAAATAGAGACAGTATATTTTACTTTAAAACAAATCTTTATATTATTTATATTGGTTAAAATGTTAATAAGTAGTTATAAATAATTAATATTGATTACTTTTTAATATTTATGAAAACTCTTAATCATTTAAAAATGGATTTTTAACCAAAAAAGGTAATGAAATCTTCGAGAATTAGATTGGGGTCCACAATTTTCACTATCTCTTTCGACATTGGGAAAGTGGCCATCATCATCATCGTCACAATTTTCACTACCTCTTCAGTTTTTGTTTTGCTAATTAAGTCGATTACGATATTTCGCAGTATGCATATACAAAAATTATAAACTTCCTTCTGATAAATTGAAGACACCACTACAACCGCAATTTGTTTTCACTATCTATACGATCTATGATTCAATATTTCCTACCGCTTTTTTATCATAAAAAAAATGCCTACCGTCAATTTTGTTTGTTTGTGTTCTATAAAATCTGCTGTAACCGCTTATTCCATGAACCATATGAAAGTACACTGTCGCTTCTTGTTTGGCGTTATCAAGATTTATTGCTTTGTATGAGTATAAATATATTATTTTTATTGTTAATATTAGTGTATATATTCATTCATTCACCATCAACCATGCATTAGTCTCCTAATTATGTCAATGGCAGATGCACTTATTAATATATAAAAACAACAAATAATTCAAGCCACGATTAACCACTTTTTCTTTCTTTACGTCACACAACAATACAATACTATATATTTCAAAGTATAGCCACAATTATTAGAAAATCACAAATTGGAACAAAACAATATTATATATGAAAAAACATTTCTTTTAAATCTCAAATCATAGGGAGGACCGGACGCTCAACTGCTGCACTCTAGTTTCCAGTGTGGGCTCGTCTCAAGACCTCCCATTATTAACTTAATGTATAATTTGATAATGCAACGCAAAAATATTAAAAAAAACCTTTTCTTTTGTTTCTTTGTTTTTAACATTCTGGTGTTTGGGTGTGGTCTCTTTTAGGGTCATGGCAATAGTTATAGACCAAAAAGTTCCTCTGTGCCCATGCCATCGCCCCCATTTGTTGCCGGCTCAACCCTCGGTTCCCCATAGGTGCGGCCGATGGCGGTCTACATGATGTAGATCCGCCTGCTACGCACCCAGCCAGCTTAAAGTTTTTGTATTTAGCCACAAATGGTTGATATCTGTAGTCGGCTTTGATCCTACCGTTTTCCGTGGCCCAGTCTGATGCATCCCATATCGATCCGTACACCCACATCGGTCTTGTAGGGAAGATGGCTTCACTCTTTCTATCATACGTACGTATTGGTACATCATCCACGTAAAATCTGTATATAGAAAATTGACAAATTTAGAAAATCAAACGTAACAAAAATATATGTATATATATAATTAATGTAACTATAAATACTATATTGACTTACACAATTTGATTAGCGTTCCACAAAATTGCGTAGTGATGGAAATCTTGAGTAGGGTCGAACCACAGGTTAAATTTCATTTCTCTCCCAATGACATTTCGGTCACCACTTCCTCTAACGAATACATTTGTCTGAAGGCTATAAGGTTTCCCTGGCGTTGTCCCTAGAAACTCGATATCGACCTCGTCATGGTCTCCGGGATGCTCTTGGTTGTTTGAGAGCTAGATATCCAAAAAGTTGTTAAGAGAAAAATTTTAACGCTTTAGCTAGATACATACAGTAGATGATTAATTAATTAGTTCTCCTTTGAAACTGTTTGTTTCTTACATAGAGGGATGTATCAACTCCAGCTGTGTAGCCTGGTTGAAGCTTAATGGATGCACCAAAGTAGCCTGAACTGTACGGACGAATAGACTTGAATCCACTCCCTGTTCACAATCACATTTGATTAGTCGTTGTATTTACGAAAAAAGCACAGGAGTAAATGATATGTTTAAAATATAGAAATAATTAGGAAATTATATTTAATATAGTATACTCTACCGACACAGTCTTTCAAGACATGCGGTGTATTAAATTAAATAAAATCAGAAACTTAAATGCGGGTGGTTTGACAAAGAAACAAGAAATCTTCACGTACCTAAACTGGTTCAAATTAAATTTGCATCCGTTGATATTATTTTTCTATGTTTTTTTTTTGATCAAATATTTTTCTATGTTTATACCAAATAAGTAGCATGTAATTTATTTTGTACGTATATAACATGGACCAATAAAAAAAAGGGACCATCGAGCTGAGCCCACAAATTTGGTTGTAAACGAAAAAAAGATGAAAAAGAAAGAAAAAGACCAGAAGATTTGTCGAGCCAAAGAGTGATAACGTCTTGCTCTCTACGTTGGTGTTGAGAGCCCCATAGAGTCTGAAATTCACGATCAAAAGTGGAAGTTGGTACTCGAAAACTGGGGTAGTATCCCGGCGAAGGAGAACGCTGGCTATAACCACTAGGGCACAACACTAAGAGAGACAGACAAAGTAGAAGGATAAGAGGAAAAGCCATTTAAGAGTGAAGTAGAGTTCCCTTTGAGTAGTTACTGCAAAAGGGGGAATAAATATATTTATGAATGAATGAAGTAAAGTGGAGAACACAGGTGTGTATAAATAGAGAGAAAGTAGGTCCTACAGTTATAGGAGTGAGTGACTGTTATCCGTTGATTGGATGGGCCTATATGGATTGATCCCATGCCAAATGTGAACATTTTATGTCACTTACATAAGATATGAATTAAATAAGAAAACGGAGTACAAAAACTGAAAATACAAGAAAAGGAATCTGAGAAATAGATTTCTATATTGATGTTCAAATACTATTCTTCTTTATTGAAAGTATAACGTGGTAACTTCCTTTTTTTACTAAACACACAAATGTTTCTCAAGTTTCTTGGAGTCTGACTCTTTAAACGCAAGCTGTAGATACAGTAATTTACAGAAACAGATAGTTACGGTTAACAACGTTTCTAAGCTGCTTATACAACTAGCATAGCAATTAAAAACAAATACGTTTACAGAATACTTATTACTAATTAATTTACAGATGCAATAGCAGTTAACTCCTAAATTAACAATATAAAAATATTATATAATTATATAATTAAACATAAAAAAATACTATTGAAAAACTGATTTGTTCAACATAGTTGATAATAAAACAATAAAAATTATATATATATATATAATGTTTACATTTATTCCTTAATTTTCTTTATTTTCTTAAACAATTGTTATTTAAATAGGTAAAATATATATTTTTTAGACTAAGATTAGATTAAGAAAATTTTAGCTGTTATATATATATATATATATATTAGTAATGCAGAGAAAAATTATTAAGAGAATTATAGTTTAATATTTATTAAATGTGATAGGTGTTAATAAATATTAATTAGAAGTATCGAAATTAGTTATATATTTTGTGATTGTAATATTCAAGTTTTTTAAAATATTTTATATCTATTCTGGTTTTAAATAAATTTTTAATTATTTATCTGTAACCGTAAACACTGATGAGAATTTTTTTTTTAATTTTAGGGAATCAACAGTGGTAAGAAACGTTAGAAAATGTTTTGTATAATTGTAGTCAAATGCCAACAACCACTATCAACTGCAAAAGTTGTGTTTGCAGATGAACCAATCAATATTTTAATAAAATACTATTTCAACTGTAAAAGAAAAAAAATATTTTTTCATTTTAATATAACTATCATTTAAAAAATATTGGCTGAAAATAATATTTTTTTTAATTTCCATGTCATTTTGTTGTTGTCACAAATTTTTATATTAACTCTAACCAAAATTAATTAATAGGAGAGATATTTAAAGTCATGGACTCATGTCTTTGTAAGAGCACAATAATATCATTAACTAAAAAAATAATTGTGTGCAAAATGGTAAAAATACAATTATATATATTGGTATGGAGAAAATATGAATAAAAGTCGAGTTAATCCGCTTATTTTGCATGAGTCGAAGAAAGAGTTGATTAAATTTATAACTATATAAATTCTCGTTTAGAAAAAATAAAATAAATATGTAAATAAAATTAAATAATTTTTTTCTGAGAAGGAAATATAACTAAATTTTAGATATTGCCCTCAATTATTATTTTTTTAAAAAAATTTTGACTTCATTAGAATTAGCCATAGTAAGATTTCTTTAAAATGACTAATTTTGTATGATAAAAGATGAAAATGTCAATTTGTCAGTTCGGCAGAGATGAAAAGCTTTTGACATCATCTTACAGAGCAAAACAGAAAAAGTAAGGATATAAAAATTTCACATGGATCTCGGTTGAGGCGACGTCATTTGTATATGTATTATGTTAAAAATAAAATTTTTATTTTTCTGCTAAAAAAATAGCGTGATACGTAATGAAAAAGTTTAAGGCCATGTTCTTGTAAGTTAAAGTTGACCTTCAATATACAAAATTTTAAAATATCAATATAGATAATTTTACTAAAACAATGAATATCAACTATAAATTGAAAGTCGTGAGATATATTATTTAGCAAAGATCGCACAATATTAATGGACCCATTATACTTGTGAAGTCTGAAGTGAATTGTCGACCCTATAGCATTACTAAACGCATGTTTTTAATTGAAACATGAAGCATTCTTCAAAGCATTCTGCTATCACTGAAAGAGCCATATCGCGAATTTCATGCAATTCTGTGATATATATAGCATGAAATATAGACAAACAGATTAGAAATGTGTTGTACTAGCATGGTTTATTTTTAAATATATATTCTTCCCTGGATTATTAAAATAAAAGTCGGGATAAGGCCACTTACTTTTTTTATATCAGTTATGCACTTGACATGCAAATTCAGAGAGGTATAATCAGTTATTTGTGAGTTTGTACTTGCCTTAAGAAAACGAGTTAGTTGTGCGAACTCTATATATATTTAGTGTTAAGTTATAGGAATTTCTAACCCAAAACTAATTGTTAATGAGTAAATTGACCTATGCTTTTTATATATTAATTAGTACTTTTTTCAATTTCTGATGTGAGATAATATTTTCTAATACATTTCTTCAAGATAATGACTACTTTGATGGACTTAAATCGACAACACTAATTTTGGACCTGCTCAATGATTGTAGCAATTTTAGGTTGAATTGGATTGAATTGTGTGGATTATACTTTAATTACATAGGTTTTCAACCTAAAATCAATTGATAATAAATAGATTTGTCCATATTTTATATATATTATTTAAAATTTTTTCTAAATTTTGATGTAGAATAATACTTTTTAATATCTAACACGTAAGAAAATAACTATTTGAATAAATATAAATTTTTAACTTTTTAATATTTTATTCCGTTCGAAATATTTCTAGATCTTTACGATACGGGGTCAAATCTAGATGAAGAAATAGTTAATATATAGTTGGGAAATATCATAATAGTCTTAAATAAATATATATAATCAAATGTAACACGTAAAAGCTGTGAACGTCGCCTGGTGTACTATTTAGTGAAACCGATTTTCGATTGTAGATAGAACTGTCGGTCCGATCCATCGTTTCATTCGCACGTCAAAAAGAGGACAATAGCTTCAATCATCATCTACCTTACATATATATACACCTTATTTATATACCACTTACGAGCCTAGTGTATGATATTCACAGTATATTAGATGAATATATATAATGATATATATTTCGACGAATGTGTACTGATATAACTAAAGTACAATGAACCGACCCAACAAAGGAAATGACAATTTTTTTCTGCGGTATTATCTATATATATAAGAAAATGACATTATCTTCGTTATAATATATTGAACCATTTCTTTCCTGTTTTGTTTATTATTTTTCTTTTTTTAAAGATAAAGTCGAAGATGTAACATGTTTGGTCAATTTCCGATAGGAGGTCACATGCATGGATAAGAAATGGGATCAATCCAATGTTTTTGTTTATTTAATTTATTATAAGTTTGAATGGTATGCAGATTTTTTACGTTTTTACGTTTTGAAAATTTGATTCTGTTATTTTTTATCATTTATGTTATTTATCATGTTTTCACGTTTTCATATTTTTTTATGTTTTTGAAACGTGATTCCGCTAGCGTGTTAAAAATATAACTAAAAAAAATAAAACGTGATTAATCTACTAAAAGTAGCTTTTCAGCGTTTCACAATTATTCAGCTAAAATATTATTCAGTTCAGTTCATTCTGCTAGTAATTTTTCAGTTATTCCGCTATTCTGTTATTTATCTGACATACCAGTCAGACCCACATGTATGTTTTTGGGAAAACGATTTATTTCCCCACCAGAAATATCATATAGTATCGGATGAAGTCTAAATTATATCCTCTTTCTAGATATCTCTCATATAAAAAATTAAAGATCCAGATCTCCATCGGTATTGGTTTCAGTGGTTAAGATTAAACCCATACGCAATGTTGGTTAACCGAATGAGAAACCCGGAAAAGAAACCCGAATGAAGCCTTCTAAACCCGACCCGTTTCTTGCCTACAAACATCGGACTCTCAACAGTAAGAATCAGAAATCCCCAAATCTATTAAGAATCCTAAAATCGAGTTCGTAAACCCAGATAGAAAACCCTGAAATCCATTGTTCTTCAAACATATATCCGAAATCGAGTGTATTTCTATTGTTAGTGTGGAATTTCATTGTCTCATTTCTGTTTTTTTCATACTGTAGAATGTTTATTTTCGTTCTGGATTTTTGATTGTTGTCTGGATTTTTTATTGTCTCTAGGTTGCAATCCGCAATGAGTAATCTGTCTGGAGCTTCAAGCGGATCTTCAAATGGTCGAGCAAGAGGAAGAGTTGTTGGTGTACCTAAAAGATGTTGGTGTGGAGATCAAATTGTGGCGTTGATATCGAAATCGGACCATAACCCTTACCGGAGGTACTATCGATGTGGCTATGCTGTATCTCAGAAGGTAATTCGAACTTTGAATGACCTTGTTGTACCGATTTTGTTATGATGCTTTTGATTCTTATTGGTATGGATGAATCATTCTTGTAGCTCATGAATGATAATCACAATTTCAAGTGGGTTGATGAGGCATTCTTAAATGAGATTGAGGCGTTGCAATTGAAGATCGTGAGACTTGAGGAAGAGCTGAAAGAGGCTACAACAGAGAGAACATAGATTCAGAAGATGTTTGAAAAAGTGCAATTGAAGCTCGAGAAGGAGATATTTGAAAGAGTGGAAGATGTATTGGTTGAATCATCATCTAGGATGAAAAAGATGATGATTGTTACTGTCATTGGGTGCATGTTAATTGTTGGATGCATTATGCTTCTAGGTTGAATAAGAGGGAATATGATGATTGTTGTATTCATTTGTTTTGGGATGCTAATGTGTTTTCATTTCTTGTGTTTTTGTGAGATTCTTATGTTTTTGTAAGACTTAGTACTTGATTCCCATTAATATATGTGTGTTATCGTTCTTTTAGCTTTGTAATGTTTAAGACATAACATAGTTTTAGTCATGTGAAATAGACAATCTCGAATACACAAAAGAAACAAAAGATATCAAGACCATCCATTGCCATCGAAAATGGTTCACCAAAAAGTGGTCAAAAAAGCTTAATCCGAGATATCAGTACTCATAATCCAAAACATCTCCAAGATATCCAAAACATCTCCAAGAA